GATCTTAATGCAGACCACTGGCTAATGACCATGCTGAAACGTTATCCAGGAAATACTTCTGAGCCTGAAGATGTACTTGACTTTCGAGAGGATAGCCAACAACCATATCATCGGCTTACTAAACATAAAACAGTAATTTGACGATCGATGGTCGTCAGGGTGGAAGTGAAGGGGATAAGATTGAGGAATTTAGTAAAATTTCTCTGCTGGTTGGGACTGTAGCATCATTGGTTATGTTAACATCACAAACCTCGCTATCTTTCTGAGCTCCACTGGAACGTTCAATCTGACTGCATCTGAAAATAAAGCAGCACATACCTGTAGAAAAGGGAGTTCTTGAATTTTGAAGGACTATCCCGGATTGTAGTTCCTTTTCAGTCACTGCGCCTGATTTCCGGAGGCTGCAAAAAACCGGCCACACGTGATATCATATGCTGTCGTTCTGAAATATTTAAATTTCCGCTATCGTAGCCTGTCAGTTTCCTGTGAAAACACTTTCTGTAAGTAGACGCACACTGAAAGCAAACATATATTCAATTAGTTGGTTCTGGATAATTCTGCTCTGCTCAAGAGGATGAAGAATATGCATCAAAAACACGATGACTAAAAGTCCAAATTTTTTGTGTTGGACTGGCTTCCAATTAGGTCAGGCAAACTCTAAATTGAGCTCTTTTATTCAGAGATACCGTACTGCCTGAGCAGTCATTCGTGTGTTGACTCGATATACGTCAATCTAGAGGAAAGGTGAAAAGGAAAACTTAGGCTGATACTGGTCTGCACGCCATCAGTTCAGGAGGCAGCGTGGGTCGGGCTGCAGTTTCTACGTTACTTTATTTATTAAAGAGTATTTTTTATCATGACGAAGAATAGTAGCCACGTGACCATTTCGTGCCATCAGGTGGACTTTCACTCCTTTACTCGGTCCGGTATAACAAAAGCGGTACGCGCAGAGGACGTCATCGGCTCCTACTCAGTCAAAAACAGATCTGCTTATTTTTAAACGTGAAAGGCCGCCACAAACAAAAAAGAGACGTGCCGTTTTTCTAATTTATTTACCAAAGTATTTTAACTTTATAAAATAATGAAGTTTCTTTATAATTCGCAAAATAAAACGTACTGAAAAGTGTCTGGTATTGGCATAGATTTTGTTAAGCCTGCCAAATGCCTATTCACTGAATCTCCTTCTGTGCATTTTGTAATGCATATAGCGTCTGAAATTAATTGCATCCTGAGAAATGCGTTTGAAACAACCACCACATTTGTGCGCATGTGTATCATTGCAGTTTAAAATGTTCAAAACAGGCATCCATACAGTTCTGCCTGGAATATCCAAGCAATATTTAACGACCGTTTAGGAGACTCTGTTTCACCATTAGCGGCCTGTTACATTTAGCTATGAAACGCGTCTGTTTGACCTCAACTTGACCTTTAGCTGATAGGGGAACTTTCCTACGATCACGTTACATGGATACACGCATCGTGTGCGTATGCAGTCCTACATGTCGTCCGCTGGTGAAGGCACAAATGTGATAGACACTAAAAAGCATAGAAATTCTACTTATTTCTCTATTATCAATGATTATAGAATTCAAATGATTTCCTCGTCTAATTGTATTTACAGCTCGCCTATATGTTATTAGGCATCCAGAATTTATGCGTAAAACATAAGACAATAACTAACTAATTTTCAGTTTGAAAATAACTTTTATCACGCGCAAGTAAGGGTACTGCTTTCTGCTTGAATTACAGTATTCCAGTGGGATGTTTCAGTATTCTATCTAAAGTTAATTAGTTTTTCGCACTAACTATGACAAATGATAAAGGTAAACCTATACCTGTGGGTGGCGTCGTTAGAGAATAAGTCTTGAATTTATTTTTTCTAAAAAGCTTGCGACTAAACTCCGATCCAACTTCATTAGGCAAGAAAAATAATAATTATTGAACGTTTTTCGATCAAAGACCAACGCAGAATAATTGTTGCAATAAATTCCTAGTCTGGCCTGGATTGTAAAGTAAAGTTTTAATTGTCAATTAGAACATGCATATAAAGGTATGAGCGAGGTTCTCTTAGTGCGTTTGTTACGTATTTAAATTTTTCTAATTTATTCTGAGCTGCTTTTTAGTTCTGGGTTTGAATATCCCTCATAATTGCATTGCCAGGCTTAGGCCAAGCAGAACAAATTTGACGGCCTAACACTTAGAACTCCCATTGCCATTTATTTTTATGAGCAGCGTAAATGGCAGAAACTGGAGAATTCATATTAAAGTATAAGTTTATCAGTGTATGATAATACACACGATCGAGAGGATTAAATACCACAATAAATTTACCTTATGCATACCATATTCAAATAATCGTCAGAGCAATACCTTCCAAGATAACAGCTGGCACGTAAAAATAATGTTATGAAGATTCTTGTGGTTCTTTTCGTGTTCGTATTGCTCGAGGTGTGATATTGGGAAGATGACGTGATAATTGCGTGAGTGACAATCTCACAGACTACTCAGAGTTTTTTCTGCTCAAATATGGGGATATCA